CCCTATGGATGTCCCGGTCCTCAAACACTCTGTGCTTCATTTGGAAAAATGCTGCACTTGCAGAGCTCAGGCAATGTTATATTTCAGTGTCAATGTTGACTTTTGTGATGAGATGGCTGCCAAGGTAGTGGAAATGGCCAACATTTTCCAATGTTACACCATTAAGCTGTATTTCTGGCATTTTCTTCTTTTCTTCTGCCCAGCTGCAAGCATCCCATCCATGCCGTATTTGGGGGCCACCCATGACCAGATCCATGTTGAAGGAGTGGATCATTCTCTTTGGAGGAACAGGACATGGATTCCACCTGATTGGCTTCTGTGTCTTTAGCAGGGCCCTCTGCCAAGCTGCTGGATCGAAACTTTTGCACACTTGTGATTCCAGTAACAAGACTGACTTATGACGCTGCCAGCCTTGAAATGTCCGTGTTAGGAGAAAAGAAGAGAGAGAGAGAACGAGAAAGGAGGAGGCCCAACTATGGAGCGATCTGTCATCCTCCCCCTGTTCCCTCCCTCTATTCACTCACTCAGATGACTTTCTCGAACCTGATAGAGCAAGAAGCGATAGAGATGGATATTTAGTTGCGGGGACAGATGAATCAACACCGCATCGACCCAAGCAAGAGTTGTTGTGGCAGTTTTATTTATTTTCTGTATTGCAAAGAGCTCCCCCTCCTTCGTCATCCTCGCCCTCCGCATTGCCTCCTGGACCTCCACATGGCCATCAGGGCCATATTGGAATTGGGAATGAGGCCGGAGGGCGGTTGCAAGCTCTCCTGGAACATGGCTTTGATGGGCAAGGAGGGAGAAATAAGAGGAAATGCTGAGTTGGCACAAGAACTCTCAACTCTGAGAAGACTGCATTTTACATTTTGGAGGAGATAGATGATGCCTTTCGGTTTTTCGCCGATGAGGGCCATCACCAGAGCTGTCCGAGGGAAACTTGGAGAGGGCTGCGGTATCTTTCAGAGTTATACAGAAGAGGGGAATTTCAACAGGTTTCACTTGTTATGTGGTTGCAGGATGAGCAACATCTGCTGAAATCCCTTCTTCTGCACAGCCGGTAGCTCTAGCTATCGTAGAGGTGGCTGTAGCTAGTAGTTACACATATTCATTTTTGTTGTTGTTGTATCCACCCACAAAATTTATTTATTATCTACTAGCCATCCCCTGCCACGCATTGCTGCGGCCCAGTTTGTGTATATGTGTTTGTGTGTATATATGCCAAGATTATGGCAACAAGAATGATTGACAACTGGGAAATAGAGGGAGAAAA